ATCGCTGCCCAGAGACAGGTGATGGCTGGAGACTTGAGACCTGACTGGGGCACTCCTGGAGTGGACCGTGGGGGATACAAGTGCAGTCAACCTGAAACTGTGTCACTATGTTCCAGCTGACTAACAAATAAAGTCTGGTTTTGAAAAGGCTGTCTTCTGTCTCTGAAAACATCTGCTGGTTGCAGAGCTTCTAAGAGGGTAAATCTCAACAGGAGACTAAGCTCATCTGGACCTGCTGAAGGAGCCACAGTGAGAAAGAGCCAAAGACCCAGTCTGGGTGTAATATAACCAAGAGGATCCCCTTTAGCAAAGTGGAGGCCCAGGGCTGTCATTAAGAAGGGTACAGTCAAGGTTCCTCCCCCACTCTGAACTCTAGGGTACAGATGTGGGGACCTGCATGAAAAAACCTCCTAAGCTTATCTTTACCAGCTTAGGTCAAAACTTCCCCAAGGTACAAAATATTACACCCGTTATCCTTGGAATGGCCGCTACCACCACCAAACTAATACTGGTTACTGGGGAAGAGCTGTTTGGACGCGTCTTTCCCCCCCAAAATACTTCCCAAAACCTTGCACCCCACTTCCTGGACAAGGTTTGGTACGTCTGGTTTCCACCTTAGGGCTCTGAACCTCCGACGAGACTGCTCGGGTGTTATCCCCATTCTGACTCTTGCCTTGGATTTAAACAGTTCATACTTGTTCATGTGTTCTTTAGGCATTTCAGCTGCCACCTCAGCTAAGGGTCCACTGAGCTGCGGCCTCAGCTCTACCATGTATTGGTCAGTAGAGATGTTGTACCCAAGGCAGGCCCTTTCGAAGTTTTCTAAGAAGGCCTCAGTATCATCGCCTGCCTTGTAGGTGGGGAACTTTCTGGGATGGGAAGTGGTACTTGGAGAAGGATTACTAGGGTTTGTTGGGATATTCTGCTGAGCCTTTATCTTCTCCATCTCCTCCACATACTTCCTCTCTTTTTCCTTTTCCTCCAGTTCTTTGTCCCTCGCTTCCATAGCTCTCCTGTGAGCAGCTGCTTGGTGTTGTTCTGCTTCTCTCGCTGCCTCCCTTTCTTGTTCCTTCTTCAGCCGCATGAGTTCTATCTGTCTTTCATGTTCCCTTTGTCTTTCCTCAGCCTGAAATTTGGCTAATTCCAGCTGTAGTCGAGCTGAGGATTTGGTCATTCTAACCTCTCTGTTTTTAACTAACTTTACACCCGAGGTTTAGAAATAAACAAACAAAACTTGGCTGTAAAATTTTGCTGTGCTGCAATAGAATACCTATTCTCTGATAGTGATTGTCAGCCTACAGAAAAAGACAATTCCCTTGTCTCTGCTCTGGGCCCAAATTAAAGCAAAAAACCTCCAACTACTTGGAAACCTGCTTACCCAGCCCAAAGAAAAAGCAAATGGGTAGAACACACACCCCCTATTAACTTTTAGGAAGAAAAGAAAAAAAAACCTCTGGATTGGAAGATTTCCCTGCAGGAGTTAAGTACCCTGCCTCCAGGCAAAGAAAACCTGCAATTCACAAGATAATCCCCTTTTGTCTCTGCTTGGCCACAAAGCAGAGAGAAACCAAGCTGCTTTCAGTTTCAAAGCTGCTTTCTGGACTTTCTTTCCAAAGAAAAAAAAAATTTCCTTTTTAAAATCTGTATTTCTAGTTCAAAAAATCTCAACTGGATCTCAAATGATTTCAGGTTAATCCCACCACTGTGCCACCATGTCAAGGTTCCTCCCCCACTCTGAACTCTAGGGTACAGATGTGGGGACCTGCATGAAAAAACCTCCTAAGCTTATCTTTACCAGCTTAGGTCAAAACTTCCCCAAGGTACAAAATATTACACCCGTTATCCTTGGAATGGCCGCTACCACCACCAAACTAATACTGGTTACTGGGGAAGAGCTGTTTGGACGCGTCTTTCCCCCCAAAATACTTCCCAAAACCTTGCACCCCACTTCCTGGACAAGGTTTGGTAAAAGCCTCACCAATTTGCCTAGGTGACTACAGACCCAGACCCTTGGATCTGAAGAACAATGAACAATCCTCCCAACACTTGCACCCCCCCTTTCCTGGGAAATGTTGGATAAAAAGCCTCACCAATTTGCATAGGTGACCACAGACCCAAACCCTTGGATCTGAGAACAATGAAAAAGCATTCAGTGTTTTACAAGAAGACTTTTAATAAAAATAGCAGTAAATAGAAATAAAGAAATCCCCCCTGTAAAATCAGGATGGTAGATATCTTACAGGGTAATTAGATTCAAAAACATAGAGAACCCCTCTAGGCAAAACCTTAAGTTACAAAAAAGATACACAGACAGAAATAGTTATTCTATTCAGCACAATTCTTTTCTCAGCCATTTAAAGAAATCATAATCTAACACATACCTAGCTAGATTACTTACTAAAAGTTCTAAGACTCCATTCCTGTTCTGTCTCTGGCAAAGAGCAGCATACAGACAGACCCTTTGTTCCTCTCCCTCCTCCCAGCTTTTGAAAGTATCTTGTCTCCTCATTGGTCATTTTGGTCAGGTGCCAGCGAGGTTACCTTTAGCTTCTTAACCCTTTACAGGTGAGAGGAGCTTTCCCCTGGCCAGGAGGGATTTCAAAGGGGTTTACCCTTCCCTTTATATTTATGACAGGTACACTCCCAGAAAGACAGTACATAGGATGGAGACATAGCACACCCTATGGATCTAGAAAACTACTGAGACGGAACATGGAGGGATGAGCTTCTAGAAGAGGTGGAAGATACTGTAAGGCAACTTATGAAGACCTGATGTTACTAATAAGGTTAGGCTCTTGCACAGGTGACAATGAACTTCTGTTTTTCACTGTTTCTGCAACAACACACCTTGAGGTCATCCACATCAAGTGGTTCCCAAAGTTATTTACAACTTTGGCACAGCATAGTGTAGGCATCCAAGAAAAAAGATATTACACAACTTCATGTTAAAAAAAATCTCACAAAATAATACTAACAGCAACAACAATAATAATGGGGTGGGGAAGCCAACAGGAAAAATAGCAAGACAGAAAAATGAGACAGAGAAGGTGCCAATTTGGATGCCTAAAAATGCACATCTGAAACAGTTTACAGAAGTTCCACATTCTCAGTAAATGTTGTAATCCAGGATGCTTATGCCACACAACCTTGCACATATGAATAAGCAATAACTTGCAATAAACTCAGAACATGCTCATTTCCAAAAATAAGATGCTTTCCCACAGAAACAAGCAACAATCTTCCAAGAAGATTTAGCATCCTGTGGCGCATGGCTGAGACGTCTGAAACTAGCTGCCAAATTGGACATACATATAAACAGAAAGAAAAACCCTTATATTTAAATAATAGTAAAAGGCATTCACCTTATATTTATTTGAAAATTAACATTTTTTCTATCTGATTTAAACAAATACTTCAGAGTTTATTATCTATATTAAAAATAGCATATAGTTGCACCCTACTACTTACCATCAGCAACTCTTTAAGAACTAACCAATGTACGGAGACAAAACCAGGTTTTTAGTTTTACTAATTAACTCTGTAGAGCCCATACAGCTAAGACTGAGGTTATGTTTAGACTGCCACAAACAAAGAAACAAAAAACCCTTGGGTTAGCTACCTGAATTAGCTAATTCAGGTTAAAATCATAGTGAAGACATGCAACTCAACTTTTAACTTTGGTTTGTAGCTTGAGTTAAAGCTTATAGGAGACCCTGGGGGCTGAATTCAAGTTGCTAACCCTAGTTAAAAGCTGAATTGCTATGTCTTCACTCCTATTTTAACCCAAGTTAGCTAAGGTGGGTTAGCTAACCCAAGTTAGAAACATACTTTTCCCCCCAGTATAGACAGACATATCCAAAGTGAGTGAAAATCCTATTCTATTTCATGCATCTATAACAAAATGATTTAGTGTACTGCTTCAACTGCAATGCAGGAACAGGTCTCTCTGAAAAAATAACTTGGTTCACAGAGCACTTTATTAGTAGGTATGTATATGATGTACAAGAAGGAAACAGCCCAGTTTGCTTCTCAGATCCCAGGCTGAGCTTACACGACTGCCAGTTAGGAAGATCATCTTTTGATGGGTAAGATGATATAGGGAAATACCAATACCATTTTACAGAATTTCTTTTCAGGGTACAATAGCACTGTAAATGCAGTGACTTATGAGAAAGGTCTTGAAATAATTACTCTGCAACATCATGTGTTTTTCAAACTTCAGAAATTGAATCAGTTTTTTAAGTTGTTTAAGGGAGGGAAAGAAAATAGACCAGTAACAATGAAATTATCAGATGAGAAGTTCACTGCTAACTCAATTTTTTACTTTTTTAAATCAACTATTTTGTTAACATGTGACAAAACTCAATACTAAGTATGGTAGTTCTTTTTTAAATTAAAATTTCAGTTACTTCTTATTCGCTTCCTATTTCAGGACTCATGTACCAACTTTTTATCTGAAGCAAATTAAAGAAGATTAGTCATAAAAGCCTAATACTACCTGGCAATTACAGAGCATCTTTTGTTAGAGGATCTCAAAACCACGTTACAATGATTAAATAATTAAGTATAATTTCCTATGGTTAGGTACAATTATCCCCCTTTTACAAATTGGTAAACTGAGGCACAGAGTGATTAAATGACTTGGCCAAAGTTACGCAGTGAATGAGTGACAGCATTAGAACCCAAGAAGTCCTAAGAGTTCGAACACCAAGATCCCACTACTTTTCTCAAACTGGGATTATAGTGAGAAAAGAAAAGGTAAGCAGCCTGCCACTGTCAGAAGATGCCATTACTGGTATACTACATTATGCTCTCCATATCATTGCAAGATTGAGGCATAGTTAAAGCTAATTATCTTGTCACTAAGCCCCCCTATAAAAGTGCGAAAAGGAACAAGTATCTTGACCATCTACACTTGGGAAAGTGATTAACCACCTCACTTCCACTGCCAACAACGCATGAAACAAGCAAGTTTTATCTATTACAAAAATACAGCTTACTCTAGAACAGAATGAGTTGCTGCCTGTGGATGGTAGCGATACTGGAGGAGGCACTGGTCAACTCGAAAGACTCCACCACCCTTTCGGATATGTTCATAAAAGAACAGCAAGTCTTCTGGAACACCCTGTAGAGAAACAGCTCATTCAATACAAAAGCCACTGGCATTCCTCATTAAAATATTACAAGTGACGGAGTGCATATTTAATTGTTTTGCCAAATAAATATGTGACGGGTTGGATCACAGAAACCCCCTGGGAGTTGCCACCTGATGTGCCAAGACTACTTCTGCTCCTGCTTTCCTGCCTTGTCAGCTTAGGACTTCAGTGCCCTGCCTGGTTTGAGCCAGGCCCACGAGCCTGCTGCAAACCCAGACCCAGATCTGAACCACAACCCCTAACGACAGTAGGCTCAATTGAAAGCAGCTTACAGAAGTGTGCCTGTCTTTAACACTCAGATGTCCAACTCCCAATGGAGTCCAAACTCCAAATAAATCCGTTTTACCCTGTATAAAGCTTATACAGGGTAAACTCATAAATTGTTTGCCCTCTATAACACTGATAGAGAGATATGCACAGCTGTTCCCCCCTCCCCCCAAAGTATTAATACATACTCTGGGTTAATTAATAAGTAAAAAGTGATTTTATTAAGTACAGAAAGTAGGATTTAAGTGGTTCCAAGTAGTAACAGACAGAACAAAGTTAATTACCAAGCAAAATAAAATAAAACATGCCACTCTAAGTCTAGCACAGTAATAAAAACTGAATACAGATAAAATCTCACCCTTAGAGATGTTTCAATAAGTTTCTTTCATAGACTGGAGCTGGACACCTTCCTAGTCTGGGCACAATCCTTTCCCCTGGTATAGCCCTTGTTCCAGCTCAGGTGGTAGCTAGGGGATTCCTCATGATGGCTGCCATCCTTGTTCTGATCCACCCACTTATATATCTTTTGCATGAGGCGGGAATCCTTTGTCCCTCTGGGTTCCTACCCCTCCTTCTCAGTGGAAAAAACCAGGTTAAAGATGGATTCCAGTTCAGGTGACATGATCACATGTCCTGTGAGACCCCCAAGCCTTCATTCCTCTCAGACTGACTCACAGGAAGGGCTGCCTGCAAACAGAGCTATCTATCCACAGTCAGTTGTCCTGGTTGATGGGAGCCATCAAGATTCCAAACCGCTATTAATGGCCCACACTTTGCATAACTACAATAGGCCCTTGGAGTTATATTTCATATTTCTAGTTTCAGATACAAGAGTGATACATTTATATAAATAGGATGACCACACTCAGTAGATTATAAGCTTTGTAATGATACCTTACAAGAGACATTTTGCATGAAGCATATTTTAGTTACGTTATATTCACACTGTATATATAGAGTGCGTCACAAAATAGTTTTAAAATTTGTCTCCTGAATCTCTTTTTGTGTAGACCTAAAAGTTGTCTAATGGGTCTTTAAAGAAATTTACCCAAATATAAGATAATGCTTGTTGAAAACCAGTCAACACTGCTTGAAACTGAAGCCCTGTGAGCCAATGCTGACTATGGAGACAAGAATAGCAAAAGAAAGGTCTTTTCATTTTGAACAGGCTTGTAAAGCTTTATGCATGATAGCCCCAAAAGAGGCAAACTGAACTGCTTAAAAGTTCATGAAACCTAAAATGTTAAGTAATCAAATAATTTATTTAATGGAATCTGTGACTTTATAACAGTGTTATTTACAGAGTTACAGTTCTTTCGTTGGCTCCCATTCAAAGTTTCATATTGGTCCCCACTAGGGACAGGTTAACCAGGTCCAATAAAATGAGAGCCAAACCTTTACTCAAACCTTAGACTGATTTAAGGTTTGAAAAAGTTCAGTGTTGTTTTCTTTCCTTTTAATTTTCATGAACTGGTCTCTGCTTCTGACTAGGACTGGAAGCAGCAGTGCTGAAGCAATGCAAGAAAAGTTGTTCTCCCAGAATTCCTGAACCAACACCATCTAAGAAGTATTAGAAGTCTTATGAATAAAGCTATGATTATGTCACGGAAGTCATGGAATCCGTGACTTCTATTGACCTCCATGATATTTTCTGCCCCCAGGCTGGAGCTCCCAGCCAGCTCCCCCTCCCCCCAGCTCCCAGCCCCCTCACTGGTGGAGACACCTTGCAGCTGTCCAGCCAGGGGCAATGGGGACTCCCCGCAGCTGCCCAGATGCAGCGGGCAGTCCCCACAACTGCCCAGCCATGGTGGACGGGAAGGGGACCCCCCGCAGCTGACCAGCCATGGCGGGCAGCTGGGGAACTCTGCAGCTCCCAGCCGTGGTCGCTGGCGGGGGACCCCCATCATGACTGCCCAGCCGCCCCGGGGGCAAGGGAACCCTGTAGCATCCCAGCCCCACAGGCAGGACAACCCCGCAGCTTCCACTCCCCACGGTGGTGGGGGACCCAAGAACTCCCACTGACCGCAGCGGTGGGGGACCCGGGAGCCCCAGCAGCAGTGGGTGCTGAATCCACCTCCACATTTTGTTAGGGGCATTTTTAGTGAAAGTCAGGGACAAGTCATGGGCCGCTGTGAATTTTTGTTTATTGCCCATGACCTGTCCATGAGTTTTACTAAAATATCTGTGACAAAAACTTAGCTTTACTTATGAATAGCTGCAATATTTCTAACCTGCTTTGTAGAGCAATGAATTTGGGATAAGCAGTCCAACCATACTCCAATGATTGAGTTAGGATCTCAAACATGATCAATGAGACAACCTTGCTTCAGACTTCAAAAAAAAAAAAAAAAAGGTCATGCCTTAGACAAAGCATAAAAGGGGCAGTGATGTGGCCAGTGGTACTCTATTACATGTTAGCCATACCTCAGATTACAAAAGCACCTTGAAAAGCATGGCCCTATTCTATATGTCATTATAAAGGATGGAAAGTATGTGTTTGTACTTAGCAATGGTGCAACCATTTGAAAAAATTAAAGTAAAACATGGTTTAAAACGTATAATTATCATACACATTTTCATACACTGTTTTTCTCTCCTCCCACTCATTGTTTCTGAGAGATCACATGACTATCATGCAAATAAACATACAATACAAGGAGTATTCATTCAGTATTTGAGTGTGGCACCTAGTAAAAGCTGAAGAGGCAATATAAGAAAGACAAACACGAAGAAGAGAAAGAGAGAAAAATTTATATTCACTATCTCAGGACATCAGGTAGGCAGAAACAGACTAAAGCTTATGTATTTATTGCCAGGTATTTTATTTCTACAGAAAAAATAATAAATACACTAACTAATTAAAATGATTAAAATATTCTGGCTATTGCCATAGCTTGTGTGCTCCTCACAGCATTAAGAAAATACAATTAAAATAAATAATTTCTACAAACTTGGACCCTGCCCCTCATTCAAGTTCACATTATTGGTAGTATGTGGGGAAAGAGAGGTGTAAATTTATGATTAGAGATGGAACTGTAGTGTCTGTTTTAGCAGAGAAGAGACAATTTGTTGCAATGAGTAAAAAAGGGGTTCCTGGTGGAGGCTGCTGGACACAGACTCACTCTGTGGTCCTCAGCCATGGGCAGAACACCTTACTGCAGTAGAGGCTTTCTAGCTCCCAAAGTGACTAACACAGTTTAATGTGTTGTTAATGTCATCACATTTAGAGTATACCTAAGAACTGGCCTGGACTAAACAGCCATGGAGGAACAGTTTAGTACACTAAAGGATGACTCCAGGACACACAATACAACCCCCTCTGCATGCTGGGAGAGCTCAGAACTAGAACTAGTTCTAAATTTTGCAACTCAGGTCTCTCTCTATAATTGGTTGAGCTGGAACACTGAATCTGATCCCACTCCCAAACTCTGGGGAAGTGTGGATTCAAATCCAATTGCTGGGTGACAATGGCCCATCTCTAATTGGTATGTTTATATTATGAGACACTTGCCCAGTTTTCTCATCCTAGTGCTCAGATGCTGGAGCAAGCTTTCACAGAGCTTTGTGCAGTTTGCAATTTACATGGATATCTAATGCTTCAGAGGTCACTAAAGGAATCTGGGTGAGGGTGCAGGAAGAGAAAGCAGCTGTTCCCATCAGAAAGAAAATAAAATACCATTTAGACTGAAATTCTTTGTTCCCTAAATCACACACTAAGTTGAGTCAGACTGAGTGCATGGTTTTATTAAATATCAGTCTACTGCACTTGTCAAATTCTGGTTTGGAAATATCATTACACCACTTGCAAATATTGGTAAATCATTTTCATGTGGAGTCTCATTTTCATCCTTAAAACTGCTATGGCCGAAACATTTAGCAACATATTTGAGCATAAACTGATTAAAAACAGTTATTGTCAAAATAAAATGATCCCTCTAAAACTGGGATTTGATTCTTGGACCCTATTTTCTATTTCTTCTGCTGAAAGGGGCATTTCAGAGCAATGTGCCCAGTTCCCAGGGATGAGCAGATGCCTTGCATTGCTCAGCAGTGACCTCTCAGCTAATGAAGGAGCAGCATTGCCAAAGGAAATGCATATATTTTGCAAGGGATGGAAAGATGTTGACTATGCCATGGGTCCTGCAGGGACAGGACTACTTAGGGCTCTGGGATATGTACGGTGCTTGCACTATAGCAGTTTCTTCCATTTTGAGATATTATCAGTTCTAGCTGTATTTCCCGTTTTAATCACTAGAAATCCATCTCACACTGGTACCACCTTTCAAAGTAGAAGGATCTGCAACCACTCTAGGGATATTTTTTAATGCTTTTTGAAAACTGATGGCTTTAGATAAAAGTACAGAATAACCAGATATACAGTAATGCAGCTAAAATGTATCCTGCAAATAATTTTCGCACTCCACGAAGACAGTTGAATAGCACAATATCACAAGTCAGTGAAATATGTAACAGCAACCCAGAAAATAAGCAAAAAATAACTCCAGATGCTCTTTAGAACAGTTTGTTACTACTAACATTCCACCTGGACTTATACACACCATGGCCCTTTCCACTTCTACTAGGGTTTTGTTTTGTTATAATTCTACTCCTGCTACTCAAAATTGTTCAAGACTCCAGATCACTATAGAAAAGCCATAAATTCTATAAAAAACTAGTGCAGAATTCTCTCCTTTGCCTCAGA